AATGATAATATCTATATAGTCGGCTAACACTAGACATCCAATGCATACTTCCACCTTCCTGATGCATCCACTCTTCCTCATAGTCCACGTTCAGCTTGTCTACCTAAACCTACCCCGCGAGTCGTCAATCACGTTTACGGAAAAATACATATTTAAAATGGAAAATAGTTATACGGTTGTTGCGAGTTGACGATGGAAGAAACGGCTGCATTCAGCATGACTTTCAACGCGCCTTTCTCAGCGTTTCAATGGAAAACGTGCATTCGATGCTATCGCGTTCGTCCCCACATTATGCCGCGCTTAATTCACCGTGAGTGTCGACCCACGGTAGCTCTGCATCATTAAGTATGTGCGTGCGCGAGTGCGTGTGCGTGCGGAAGCCTGGCGTGTGCCACATGCAGCCCCATCGCGGACCCTATTCCCAATCAGTTAAGGGTCGGCTCGTACCTACGTTCTCGAATACTTTTGACCGAGCCAAGGCAAGATAATTTATAAGGGAGGTCGTGCGCTCGAAACACTTTTCTCGTCTCCTTCTCTCTGTTCTCCTTTCGATAGGTAGGAAGATCAAGATCATTTCTGCGATAATTGGGATTTGCGCTATGCAATCTGCGAATGTGACGATAATTCGCGTACGAGGCCTTTAGATCCTGCATCAAAGTGGGATAATTGAAATTACCACTATAGATTGCTGAATTAACTCGAGTGTGTTGGCGAAGATTATGCCGAAATCGACCGTTCGAATTAGTCGAATACGTACGACAGCGTCGATTGGCGAGCTATAACAAAAAAATTCGAGCGCGGAACTAACTCTTCATCATCTACTAAAAAAAACAGTAATTGCAAATAATGCACGGGCTCGGATATTACGGAAAACTTCGCGCACAGGCAATTGCGGTTCAAACGTGACTCGTTGGCTATCCGCGAATGTCGCTAGTGTCGTTTATGCTCTCCCGAGGAAAAGACGAAAATACGAGCATGGGAATTGGGAATATAGGCGTACGTGTAAGCCGGTGGAAGTAGCCGAGGAAAAAGCCAAGCTATACATAGCGAAAGAGCAAGAGTTACACGGCAACGTCGGAGGTGTCGAGCGAGCGAGTAAGCGAGCGAGAGAAAGAGAGAGAAAGCGCGCGCGTGTGTAGACGTCCGGTGACGGTAAGTGCGACGTCATTGAGCGCATGGAGTGCGATCTTGTTGAACGACCGACGAGTCTCTTAATATCCGGAAGATTGTTCTGTCGTCATTATACTCGATTTTAAATCCTCTTCTTTCATTATCCCTCTGTAATGAGTTTATCCGATATTCCGTGCGTTATTTATATGCACAATGAAAATTTTACGTCCAAATCCCGCTCTCATCAATGTCAGATGCTACGACAAATGGATGCAGCTTAAAAAAAAAGCACAAACAAAAAAGAGCTAGTAATAAAATTATTTACGGATCAACATTAATTTACTCTATAGGCATTTGTCGCATACGTGAGCGCACTGTTTTCCTTTTATTTCTTGCGCTTTACGATGAATATAAAGATTTTGAAGGTTTTTTCACAACAAGGTGAGGCGTAAAATTGCCTTCGAACTTTATAAAACTATATTTCCTTAGTTTATTTCTTTTATAATTTTAATTATTTTATAAATTCGATTCACCTTACTCTTTGATTTTTCATAAAGCAAAAAAAAAAGAAGATTTTACAGATTGCACACGTAGGATAGGAAAAAGTGGAAGATCGTTTGTTTCTTTCAATATTTGTTTACATTAATCTTGAAATATGTTTTAACAGGCACCCTAAAGAACAAACAAATTATTCATTTGTTTATATCTGTAAAATATAGAATATAGACTTTCTATTATTAACTGTGCTTTTGTTTATGTTTTTCTGTACACAAGATTGATTCTTCTGAATTTTAAAACATTAAACATGCCAAAGGTACATATAATATTGTTTGTGGTTATAATTTTTTATTTTGAACGTAAGCATATATTAAAACGAATTATTCTTAACAGTTTATTTTGAAACTGTTGAAAATGAAATTAGGACACCGCGAACTTATTATGTGGCAAATAACTTATATAAGTATTAAAAAATAAAAAAAAAAAATAAAAAAAATATAAAAAAATAAACTCCATAAGCCATTTGGATATTTTAATTATAAATAAGAAATCCATAAATAGTTAATTACGAAGCGCAGGTACACACACACGCATGCGCATACGCATAAAGGCAGAGCCAGGCAGATGAACACGCGCGCGCCAGCATGCACAAATAAATAAAAAAATATATATATATATAAGCACTTGCATACAGTTCGATAAAAGATGTTTTTGATACTTAAAATATTATTTCACTGTATTTATATTTAAAGTCGTCAATGATTCTGGAACAAATGTATATAAAAGCTAATTCCTTTTTATTTTTCTTTTATTTTTATTTCTTGAAAAGTAAATATTTATCACTCGATAAAAGTTTAACTTTATATTTAAAGTATAAAATAATTTTGCAATAGAAACCATATATATATATATATATATATATATATAACACATTATATAAGAATGATGAATTGTATATTTTATAATGCTATATAAAAAATATTAAATTAAAAAATACGTTCTATTCTGAGGCAGCTCAATATGAACTTTTGATAAAATTATATAGAAAATATATAGAAAATATATAGAAGATATGAAATTAAAATGATACATAGTTTTTTTTATCATAAATAACAATCACTGATTAGATGAAATTAAATTAATATTTTGAATATGAGCTCTTTGATAAAAAAAAAAAAACGGTTTCCATATACATGCACACGCGCGCGGATGATATAGTGAATTATATCGGAAAATATATGATGCTGTGTAGAATGAAATTTGTAGAATTATTGGCTATATTAAATATTGTCAATGCGTGGATAAATAATTTTACGCAGAAAAACTTACGAGTTGCAAATATACATTATTAAAACATTTTTCCAAATAATTATTTTTACTTTTATTTTTGATGGCTAGACGCCATCGCTAGACCATTATATATCATTTTGTTCTCTAATAAATAATGTGACTTTACTGAAATTTTAAATAAGCCCTAACGCATTGTGAAATACATTATGAGAGCGTTTATCACAAGAGTTGACAATGAAACGTGTTATTTAATGTGCATAGGGTATTGGAAACATTCCATCATTTGGTGTAACAAGGAAGTAGTCATGTAGTAAAAATTGACGTTGCACCATTAATTAAAAAGATTAATAACGAAGAATATAAAAAATTTGTCAACATAATGATAAATTGTTACACAATAGCTCTCGACAATGTCAGTTTATTAAATCACAATGTTTAAGTTTTTATTTATTATACTAGATATTTATGCCCGGTAGAGGGGAAAGGGTCGGCCGCTACATGTTTTTGTTCGTTCAAGCCAAAAATTTGTCGAGATCTTGTACTCCTGGTGAACGTAATCAAATTTCGCAACTTTGATTTCCAACTTGGTGGATAAATTGAATTTGTCCTTCGGCAAAATTGATTATCAAAAACACGAGGAGATGGGAGGCCGATGAAAAACGTAGTACCAGTGTGGACAAACAGCACCGACAGGGATTATAACCGTAACCGACGACTCCGAGGGGGTAAGAACAAGTTGGGCGCGTACACACGCACAAAGTCACGCGCAAGCACACATTTACATTTCGAGGCCGAGGCAGAGGCAGACTCGAAGTCCACGGCGACGATGGGGCGCAATGGCCCGTCACTCAACGGAGATCCTGACCGTCAGTGTTGTCTCAATCTCGCCCAACTCTCTCTCTCTCTCTCTCTCTCTCTCTCTCCCTCTCTCGCTCTTACTCTTACTCTTTATCTCTCCCTGTCATACGTTCTCTATCTTTCTCTGTCGTTCCCTCCCTTTCTCATGCTCATTCTAGTGCGTTCTTTCTTGTTCGCTCGCTCAACCGGAGGGTAGCCGTAGCGCGATAGAGTAGGGGTTCATAATCACGTGACCGGTCCCTGAGCCAATCGGCGGCTCGGATTGCCGGCGTCCGGCACATGGCGCTCGCGCACCGGCCGGATGGGCCGTGCGTGAGTGAGACGTTGCTATTGGATGCCGACTAAGTTGGAGCGAGAGGGAGCGAGTCAATCGCTCGCGTCGAGCCGCCGTCGCTCGCAAGAGGAGCCGCGGATGATGAGGCGGCGCGCGCCGCACGGCCGCAGTCTCAGTCGCAGTGGCACTCGAGAAGTGTGAGGGTAGTCGTAGCTGCCTTCCGTACGTACGAACGTTAGGAACGAGACGGACAGAGAGGCAGAAAGAGAGGAGAAGAAAGGCAAAGAACAAAAAAAGGAAGGAAGCTCAGGGACACCCAGCAGCAGCGGCTCGGTATTGTAACGGAAAGCGCTTGTTTGTTAATACGGCGCGCATCAAGAGACACGAGACACGGCACCAAATCGCCAAGAGAGATAGATAGAATAAGCGGAGGTGACCCCCCGTACAACCGATCGCGTAGTAAACGTACCGTGATACCGCGTCCGAACTCCACGGCCAAGTCGCGTGCGTGCCAACGTTGAACTGCAGAAACAGAGAAAAGGAGGGAGAGTTAGAAAGAGAAAGAGAGAGAGAGAGAGAGAGAGAAAGAAAGAAAGAAAGAAAGAGAGAGAGAGCGAGAGAGAAAGTTATACAAAGGCAAAAAGGGACCGACGACGACGAAGCAACGGCGGAGTGTTTTGCTTGTTGTGCGCAGTGTGTGCGAGATAGATTGATAGATAGATAAATAGATAGAGATAGATAGAGAAGTACATACGCACGTACGCCTATCTTCTATAAGCATACATACATATATTTGCATATATATATATATATATATATATATATATATACACATAAATATACTCACGCACACATACGTACACGCGCACGCGCGTATATATATCCAAACACACACACACACACACACACACACACACCGACAAAAACCACCCCCCACACTGACGCAATCATATACGTAAATACGTATATATATACACATATGTATGTATATATTGGCATAAAGAAAGGTATATTAATATAATAATAATAAAAAGCCGGTTGCAAGAAAGGCGGTGCTAAGTGCGTGTGGGATTCTGCCGGACGGACATCATCGTAGTGCGTGAGATGCCGACGAGCCTCTTCACGGAGATGGAGCGCGGGGGTAGCGGCGGAGGCGTGGTGACAAGCAATGGTTCGTCCTCCCTCGAAGAGCAGCGGGCCCTTCAGCTCGCATTCGAGCTCTCGATGCTCGGACTTGACCAGAGTGCTGGGTCTAATGGGCCGCAAGTCACCGGAGGCGTCGGCCCTGCGAGTGCCGGCGTCGTCGGCGTTGGGGGCGGTGGCGGTGGTGGCGGCGGCGGCGGCGGTGGTGTCGGCGGCGTCCAGGATACGGACCCACTTCAGGCGGCGCCCAGCAGCGTCTTTGAGGAGGCGCGCTCGAAGAAGAGCCAGAACATGACCGAGTGCGTGCCGGTGCCTAGCAGCGAGCACGTGGCCGAGATCGTTGGCAGACAAGGTGAGTTGAGATTAACCTGACGCTCTCCCCTTCCAATGCCAGTAGTGGCTTCCCTATCGGGCACGCTTCCCGATTTTTGTCCCATTCAAATCCAAACTGTCGCTTTTTCTACATAAGGAAGTAGTTGGTCATTCGTGATTTGAAAATGCGGCCACTTTGGGCCGTTCCGGCCTCCGAGGCCGATAATAACTCTCGTTCCTAACGCATTCGCGCTAGAAACCAATTTGTCGAGGTCGACTATGCGATGCTGCCTCGTCGCAATCGATGCCCAGATCATCGTAAAATTTCGATTTCGAGAAACAAAGAAGAACCCTGTCGTCGTCGCCAATAGTGCCGCTACCGCCAACGCAACCACTTTTGCTTACTTGCCAAATAATAAATATTATCTCATATGGAGGCATTTGAAAACGGCAGATAAAAAGAGTTGCACGCATGTCAGACACGTGTTTTTTTTTTTTAAATAAACGAGAGGAGTGCATCCCGCGCAGAAAGGTGAATAGCCGCGGATCATGGGGGATTACGTTTTGGTTGTAAATATTTTCTGTCGCAGAGTCGTGCAGTTTTCTGTTTTTTTTTTTACTTCTTTTTGTTTCTTTCTTTTTAATATAATCCGTACGGGTCCGATCAATTCAGCGATTGTAGCATAAATGGAAAAAAGAAACGGAAAAAATTCGTCGCTACATCTTGGTGATTACTTTTTCACACAGGCCGCGTGGAAACAAGACACGCATTGACGCACGTACATACCGGTATTCTGTTTCTTTCCTTTTATCGGCCCGTCCGTTTATTATCGTTTTTTTTTTCTTCGCCTGAATTTCTTACAAATTTTTATAGCTAGCCGAAACCGTTGAGTATTATTCGCCTGGAATAAATGGTCTCTTCTAATAGTCCGATCCTCTGTTTGATCCTACGTCTCAAATGGAATAAATTAACATTTTTCAAACTCAAGCGTATGTAATTTACATGTTATTAATGACCACTATATTTAATACTGGTCTAAATATTTTATAAGTCAATTTAGTTATGAAGGTTATTTGTTTTTCTGCATAAAGTATTTGTGGTTGTGGTAGTTGCTGGGGAAATTCGGCAATTCAATTAATTTTCGTTCTGTGATACGAGTACAGAATATTCGGTATATTCATTATTAATATTTTTTCAAGAAAAATGTACGCAAGACCTACACGTGGTTTTCCATTTTAGAGATCAGACATTGGTATAATTTGAGGTTAATAGTTACATATTTAACGCGATAACAGAATCGACTCCATACGGACAATTTCTATCTAAAATCAATAATATCAATACTATTGGCCCATAAATAAAAGATAAGGAATAGAAATTTTATTTAAAAAAAAAAAAAAAAAAAAAAAAAAAAAAGTAAACAAATAAATAAAGAGATTCAAATTTGAATGTACGTTTTCGTGGATAATCCAAATAATAATAATAATAATAATAATAATAATAATATTAATCGATAAATTGCCTCATTGCTAATTCATGTTAAATGTAAATTGTTCGTTAGTTCGTTGGCCTTGACTTCGAACACGAAATACTCCACGCGAAAACCAATCTTTATTGTAGCGTTTAATCCAAAAAAGGCAAATAAACATCTGGCGCCCCGGACGCATCCGTAAACAAATTCATAAATACATAATCACTCTTTCTATTATATGTGCGTCTCGTCGTTCAACGTAAAAAAGTGACCTTCGCGGGGGGAGCGAGATCGTTGGATTTCAGACGAAGTCAACGTTTGTGAGAGTGAGAGCAAGTTAGAGAGAGAGAGAGAGAGACGAAGAATGAACCATTACTCGCGGCATTGACACAGCGCGCACTTGCCACTCACCGCAGGGAAATCTCGTCGCTGACTAATCATTTGCCCTTGAAATCGCCATCTTTGAACTCGCCGGCGATCTTTTCCCGCCTACACCCTTATTTTGCAAGTCAACCTTGAACAATGTTTTAAATCAAAATGGCAACACGGCAGTGGCGACGAAGCGAGGGGATCCGATAGACCGATGATAGGTTTGCGATGAAGGACGTTACCAACTCATCTGTCTACCCGTAAACGAGCGTGAATCGTTAAATTCGTGGCACCAACAGGCGGGTGATTTCGCTTGTAAATTTATCTTGGTACGCTCCATAATTTTGCAGCTGCGTTAACGTCTGTGGCTGGTTCGGCATGGCGTAATGCGACCAGAAGCGCAAGTCGTTCTTATCGCTTTGGGGGGCAAGCCGTGGCACGTGCGAAGAAGTTTCCTCTAGTTCGAACTATCGCGCTCAGGATCTCTTGCGCCGTGACTTTTCGCAAAAACGTCGGCGCCACGACCTACAAAGGAAACAAGGCGACGGTCCTCACCGCTATAATTAATTAGGACATTTGCGAAGGAAGACGAGGGGCTTGGGTGTCGATCGATCGAAAAAAGCGGAACATTGGCGAAAATAAGATACTCCTTACACCTGGTCCCGTGAGCGACAAACAGGTGCGCGTAAATTTCTTAAAAAGTTCCTCTCCTCTTTGTCCCTCTGGCTATCCCTCATCCTCGGATAGCGAAACGGCCGATCAGCAGATGGGCTTCGAGGAGACGAGTGTTCTGAAGAAATGCTCTCCTCTGTTATAGCAATTCATCCGCTTTTCTTGTCGCGTAGTAAGGAAGTATAGTGCATACAGCCTTGTTGCGTTTTCCTGCGATCGCCACTGTGTGGGATATCATTATCGTGTTTTTTTTTAATCAGCTTTATTAATGAGAGCTTTATGCTGAATGTCAGCAAGCGCCTTGCTATATTGAATACGAGCTGCAGCGATTCAGGAACAACAATGACGACATCGTCGACCATGACTATGACGACTCGTTTCTGCTCAAATCTTCGGCAAGTGTTTGTGATGCTTTCCTGAGTTTCACTCATTGCTGCTTCGTCGAAGTTATATCCAAAAACTAGCAATTTAAATTTTAATCGCGATAAAATCAATTAAAAATGATTTCATTTGCAAAATATGTATTGTTCAATTAGTCGTTTTTGCCATAAGAAATTTTGCATTTGCGTTTAACGAAATGTTGCGATAATATCGTATGCAGTTACATTAATAAAAATTTTATTAAAACGAAGGCCAATTACATAAAAACACGTTATTGTCGGATTTAACGTGTAATTATATCTGGAAAATATTGGTGATTATTTAATTGTTTATAAAATATAAGACAGTGTGTATAAATAGCTCGAACCCAACACCATGTTATGCCCTTCTTAAAGGGTAAAATATAATATTTTTATGGATTGATTTTATTATTACGCATATTTACTACATTGTCGAGTTAAATAGCGAAGTATAAGATATCATATGGAAACGTTGTTTAGTATATAGAAATACAAATGAGAGCCAGTGGAAAATTGTGAGAAGCCCTAACCAAAATACAACAGCGATGTTGGAACTTTATACTTGGATTCATTTTCTTTTTGTTTTTTACACCCTGGCCTTTTCAAAATAATGCACACCTTATTACATTGAGCAAATGATAAGGCCTAAGAGTACTGGGTCTTTGCCTCATATCGATGATGCGCCAATATTGTCCATTTACAGTTTGTACGAGCGCGCATCAATGATTTATTTTATAAACGATCGCGCGTGTACAAATACACGCCATGATGCATACTTACAATTTAAGTTTGAATTATGCATGATTTCCACATACTCGTATTACACTCTTATCGTATTCCCCTTTTTTCGGATGAAAATACCAACATTGCGAGCAAAGATAAGAGAAAAAGCATTGCTTGTTCCCACATATCAGCAGTAGCTCCAGATTAATGAGATTCCCTTATCCGAAAGGCGCCTCTTCTTCCATAATTGTTTCTTCTTCATGATAGAAAAATAATTATCCAAGACGGGAAAATAAAGGAAAGCATTAGTCTTAGCGCGGCACCCGTACACTGTTCCTCTAGAAATTGCAACAGCAGCAGTAGCAGCAACAGCAGGATGAGCGAGTGTGCGGGGGGAGGGAAGAGATAAATATGCGTGCGGGGCGACAAGGCTCGATTACGCGTGCCATTGACCAATCCTACCACGTTCCCGAAGCGCCGACGTCTCGTCGGTTCTCCTCCAGCCGATGACATCCGGTAGCGGCCTGTGTTTCTCTTTCCTTCCTTTCTAATTTTCGAAATTCAACATTGACGGACACAGGTGCGGGGTGATATTTCCGTCCCTTGTGTTTGTTTTCGAAATTTTAATTATTGGAAATTTGGAAGTTTCGACCAATTCGCTTGATCGACAACTTCTAAAAGCTGAATAGTTGTTTGACGATTTTTCTCATTGATCGACTATTCTTTTTCCCGCGTACCTCAAAATTGGTAAACTTTCTGGTCGAATGATTCTCCCACTATTATGTCTACTAAAGGAAGAGAAGTGGGGGAGGTCTTATTGACCTCTTGTATTAGGATCGCACATTAATCATATCCTATGTCTTTTCTTAGTACTTTTCCCTAAACTTGCGTTTTAGCGTACACTTTTTTTTAACTAATAATTTGCTTCGCGTTTTTTTTTGATATTTTGTACTATTAGCAACAAATATTTTCGTAATATCAATTTACGTTCTTGGACATTAGATAACTGGTGAATTGCCTTGGCAAGACGTTTCAAGCACCTTTAACTGTTTCCCCTTCCATTAACGTTCCGTTAGATTTTTTTTTTTTAATCACCTAGCGTTTACTCAAAATTTCCGATCGTTAAGTCGTCTTCGAAATTCGACCGAAAAAACCCAAGTTGGAGAAAAACAAAGAGCAAAAGAAATAAAAAAAAAAAAAGAAATAATACAAAGGCTGAGATGGAAGAAGCAATCGAGAATTCTATTTATGTCTCACTTACGGACAAACAATAACGTTCGCGCTCTGTGTGCAAGCATGAGGTAATCGAGAAGCACGCCGGATTGCCCGGAAACCCATAGTTTATCGAACCGGCTAAAAGAAGGTGAACACGCGTGCGCGATATTTGAAGAGCCTTTGCGTGC